TGTCCACCAATGCAGATCACCAACAAATAGAACCGTCCCTCCACCACCGCCTCCTCCTCCACTAGGTCCTCCACCAACATTGTTACCCGTTGAGTTCCCATTCACCATTCCGTGCCTAACCAAATTATCATTCCCTGAATTCCCAACATTACCAGCATTTCCTAAACTACCCGCACCAGCAGCATTAGGCCTTTGAATAACCCCTCGATTCACAACATTATCTCTCGCATTCTGCTCTAAATCAGCTACCTTACCCAACGGATCACAAGGCTCAACCTTTACCGGATCACAAGACTCGACCTTTACCGGATCTCTACCTCCCAACTCATTCCCCCTAAACCCTAAATCCCTAAACCCGTCAGGTCCATCTNCAGGTCCATCCGAAACCCTAGACACTACATTCTCTTCTTTCTCAACTTTCACCTCTCCAACTGCAACTGGCAGAGCGGCACGGCTACTCTCCGGTGTTGGAGCAACAAGCTCAGTCTCCTTCTTAAACCCTAAATCCTCATTCTTACGAACTGACTGAAGAAAATTTTCACCAACATTAACATCGTTATAAAGATCCTCATAATCATCATCTTCTTCTTCAACAAGAAAACCATCATCCGCTACAGCTGAGATAGCTTCATTCCTGTGAAACTGATCCACCGGAGCCCCGACCCGATCCCCAAACCCGTCGCCTTCGGCAGCTTCATTTTCGTCCATGGCAATCTTCAAAAACGGACTTAGGGTTAGGGTTAGGGTTAGGGTTACTGATTACAACCCCCAGAAGCTGGAATCTTGTAATTGAAACACTTGATTTTTTGAATATAATTGAAAATATTACAAAATTAACAATATGAAGTGAAGAAAAAAGGTGAATTTTAATGGAAGAGCTGTTCTACTTCAAAGCAGAGCAGAGTCACGCTCAGTGCGGGAAAATATTGGTAACTGTATATATTTTTATTCTTTAGAATAATAGATAGCACCTGACTCTTTAAAATTCTGAAAAAATACTTCTGTTTTGGAATAATATTTTGGCAATTTATAGTACATAAATTATGGGTTTATCGGTACCCCTATAATTTTGGTTAATATTATAAATAATAATTTTAAATCCAATAAATTAAATATTGTGGCACTACCCTCCCAAGACCACACGGTATAGGATATTACAGGGTATGTTGTTGTTGTTGTGACAGATTTTGAACTCGCAGTTAGGGTTGTTCGTCGGTCGGTACAATATGATATTTATATATTTCGATTTGATTTTTTTGATATTTATTTAAAATGCTATACCAATACCATATCTAATTAAATTCGGTATCGTTCGGTTTCTCTCTTTTCAGTTTTGATTTATTCGAGCCGGTAACTTCAGTTTATTCGGTTAGAATATTAACTAGTGCATAATGCCATAGACTGTAATATTCTTAATTAAAGTACTCACAAATACAAAAATAAAAACATCCTACGCTCACCTGACTATTAACAAAATCTTTATCCAAAACTAGCAAGTATCAACTATAAAGAGAAAAAATGGTTACATAAAGAATAAATTTGATCATTAAAATTGTCTTGTTACTTGCTTAAAGTCAATTGTTGAACTTAAAGAATACAACAAGGACTAATCCAACATATGCAACAGAAATACACGCGTAAGAAACACCCTAAAATTATAAGAAATATTGCGTTAGACTGTTTCACAACCTAAAGAGTAAGAGTCAGAATATGCAATTTACCTTGTTCCTCTATTTTCCTATAAAAGTACACGGGCTTCATTGCCAGCCTTGACATGAATGGCAAAGAAAAGTATTGTGTAACCTAGTATACTATAATCAATTATATGTGTATTGTGTGACTTAGTATATATTTCGATATCGTATCGATATTTCATTATTGTTAAAAAAATATCAAATTATACCTAATACCAAATATTTAAAAATCTTAACCAAATACCGTAACAAATAACAAAATACCGAATACCATATACCATTTTTTTTAATATTTCGATACGACAATTTAGTATTTACCAAATTATGTACAACCTTACTTGCATCCACAATGGTCAGATTCTGAATCCGGCTCTATGTAACAAAATGGCTTTCCTTGGGCTGTCGTGCTACTGTACACTTGCACACTTAACCTTATTTAATTGTAATTATTTCTAACCCGACTAATTCAGATTTATATTGGGTAGGACCATTACAAGAGTAAAATACCTCCTACAAAAATGCTCTTCATGTTTAACGCAAATTTCTACTTAAAAGTAGAGGAATCTTAACCATTTCATCGAACTTTCAATATACATTAGTGTATACGGTCGAAATGGATTTCAGCCTTGGCATGTCCGGTACGGTTCGAAGGGTGGTGTATCGAAGTAAGATCCCGAAGGGGGGAACGAACTAACCTAGAGCCCGGGGAGGCCGGTCCGTGTTGAGATCGATATCATAATCAAACTCGAACAAGAATCGAACCATGGCGCGGGTAGATCTATCGTGCTGATAATCCAAAAACCAACCTACATCGACCTAGAATCCATCCGAGGGCTCGAACCAGGATCGGGCTCGAGCCAAGATCACGAGTTCGAGCCAAAGTCAAGCTCGAACCAAAATCGAGGATTCTAAGCAAGATCGAGCTCGCACACAAAAGCTGTTGTAATCTCACTAGAGGGAATCTTGGCAGAAATTATGGAAAAACTGATTTATCATGGGTATCCCATTGAATGTTTATTTTATTATACTTGGAGCCAAACCCTTTTCACTATAAAAGGGCTTGTTTTATCTTTCTTGTAGGGCATTTTTTTGGAGACTTAGACTATCAAAAACTGTATTATTTCCTCTATAAGGAAGAGTGATCTTTCTAGTTTCTGAGATTGATTTTATTTTGTTAAATCCTAAATTCACTGTTCATAATTGATTCGCCTGGATTACGTTTTCTCTAACCTATATTCATCCTTTATTTTATCCTAGCATTCTGTATTAAGTTATACCACATATCTTCGGAACTGCGTATAAATTCAACTATATCCATTTTTCGGGTAAATAGTTTGGCGCCCACCGTGGGGCCGAGGATAACAGTGGTCACTTATTTCCGAAAACACCTTCAATTCAGGTTCGGCTACGAATAGCCACCGACCGATTACGAAGCTGGCCTTCAAGATGAAACCAATAACTTGGCACTACCCGAGATTCGAGCCAAAATACCACTAGATGTCAATTCACAANGGGTAAACAGTTTGGCGCCCACCGTGGGGCCGAGGATAACAGTGGTCACTTATTTCCGAAAACACCTTCAATTCAGGTTCGGCTACGAATAGCCACCGACCGATTACGAAGCTGGCCTTCAAGATGAAACCAATAACTTGGCACTACCCGAGATTCGAGCCAAAATACCACTAGATGTCAATTCACAAATTGCTTTGGAAGCAAACCAGCGTTCCGAACCGGAAAAAAGCATTCAGGGAGGTGCTCGCTCCGTAGCCCAAGACACCCAAAACCCAGAGGAGATCGGGGCCAGCTTACGCATGATCTTCAAGATGTTGCAAGCCCAGCAATTATCGATAGCTCGGCTACAGAGCCAAACTCAAGCACAAAGCAGGCCGGTTTCCAATCCACTTCGAG